TTCACTCCTCCCTACCCCCCTCCATCGATTGAGCTCTCACCCAGCATACCCGGCTGCTGCTGTTCAATTTGCGCATTTTTTATATTGAATAGCATGGAAATCGTCCGATTAGTTCTGAATAGTGCTGCTATAATAGATAGAACAACAAAATAAGCTATTCAAACGCCACAGTTACTCATTCAGCTCAACTGCGGAAACATGACAACATTTATTAGAAATTTGATGACTAAAAATAAAATCACAGTTTGAAATATACAAGTGCGAGAGCAACTACGTGATCTCCCTAATCACAAGTCAACAAAATGGAAACACACGTTCAGGAAATCATCATCGGAGAGCTAGGAGAAGCCCATATTAAGAGTTATAAGTTGAAGCAAGTAAGTATCGAGGTTATTGCAAATAGTAGAAGAAAAACAAAAAAAAACTGAAAAAGAAGTCAAGTATATGTATTGGACCTGTGAAATTGGACTATAGAAAAGTAGTAGACGCTTTCACAAGAAAAAAAAAACAGTTAAAGTAGTCGAGCTTTGATACCCTTCCATGAAAACAACTCGTATCTACCTGACATCGAAGCCTTTCCAAAGTTTTCATGCATGTTAGCGATAAGTAGGTTTACGTTACTTGCATTATTGCTGATCTTCTGCCGCCAAGTAGTCGCCGTCTCACGACATCTTCATCAGCAGCAACGACCTCATCCTCGTCATTACCGTGATCTTCTTGATCAGAGCTCAAAACATTGTAGAAGACTCGTCGCCGCCAAATAACTTCACGCCACAGTAAAGGTACCAGACATGCTGTTGTACAAATGATCTGAAAGCAACAAAACCATTGCTTTAAGTGTAAAATGAAAAATTAATAAGGATAAAGGATAAAGAAAATGAAAAATAACAGGAGAAAAATTGAAAAAAAATACAGGAGAAAACGATAGAGGATAAAGCTATCGAAGGGCTGATCAATTCGGGATGCGCAACGCATTCAGCTGCCATTCGGTGTAGTAGAAGTGACCGAAAATCTATTTCACCTGTGTAGTGACCAATAGAATATGTCAATGCTCTTAAGCATTGACATTACCCTACGTTGGTATCAGCTGACCGACTACAAAGCAACTGAAAGCATTACCTGAACGGGATTCACCCGGCAGACGTCTTTGAAATCTTACGTCTTTTTACGACTGTCTAAGATCTTAATCTCGTGGGTGACAGGTCTTACTCGTTCGTTGCAAATCAATGACAGATAGCTTCTTGCTTAGCAGTGGAAAAGGGGCCCTTACAAAGCCTGTTCATATCAAAAACACATGACACAGCAATATCGAAATGTTATTCACAGTGAACATGAATTATTCATGAATTCTACTGCAAGACGCTATATGCTAATAAAAATAAGAAACCATTTGCTCACCATAACAATGAATCCATAAAATACAGAATTCCATCCGAACACAGCTTGGATCGAAGGAATGAGCAGTTGCCCAAAAGCAGCTCCAAAACTACCCGTACCTGAACGACTCTAGCTCAAGCGAACTTCGAAAACCTTACTAGAAATTGTTCACAAATCTATGCTATTTTCGAGAGTAAATCAGTAGAATATTCTTGAAAAGGACTGCTTTCTACTCACTACAATCCAAAATTGGTGGAACTCACCATCAACGATTCCAGTCACAGTTGAAAGAGCTTCTGCATTTCCTCTAAGTTCGCGAGTTCTACCTAAAAAGGGAGGCCTAGTAAAGGGATCAGATCCAAAAAATGCTTGTTCGCTACCTAAATCAGCAGAAACAGAACTGGATATCATGTTTGCCGGACCACCAATGAAGAAACCGGTAATCGTTAACAATAGGCCGTTGATAAATGGCGATGGCGGAGACGCTAAAAATTCGAACATAATCAAGAGGTTCTGCTTATCTATTGAAAGGACGTCAGGAGTGAAAAACAGGACCTGAGTAAGCCCATAGAGCGAACGTGGAACAAATTAACATCACGACAATGATCGGAGTTCGGGATGAGAAGTGATCCTGCAAGTCTTATAATAAAACAATGAACGACACAAAACTTTAAATTCAATTAACTGACCGAAGCTGTTCCCGCAAGGATAGCAGCAATGATACCTCCAACATCATACCAAGCCGAGAGAGCGTCCGCGTCAGCTTCACTCCATCCGAAATTGGAATGAAGATAGAATGGCAACCAGAAGAAGAATCCATAGTTGACTAGTTTCAAGCAGGCGTAAGCCAAGGAGTACTGAAATTATTTTGAAAATTGCATTTTGTTGCACAAAAGTAGTAGGCTGTTAATGGGAAAGGAATGTTTGAGCAATGAGCTATGGCTTTTTCAACGACGCAAGCCACAGCTAAAGCTGTCGAAAAGCCGAAGGTGATGGAGGACGCGACGCTTCTCTGAGTTGTTTGCCCCAATAGGAACTCCTCAAAATATAACCTACCGCTAGAACACCAGGGAGAAGCCAGGCTTTCCAGAAACTGATCGGAGCAGGGCGTTGAGTAGGCTCTTCGATAACTCGCATATACTCGTCCGGCGAATCGATAGGATCCGGCAAACCTTAAGGAAGTACTAATATCGTAAACTCAATCAAATTAGAAAGAAAAATCTAGTGAAATAGACTTACCCACTTCCCTGGGAGCTGATTTAAGATTGAAAAACACAAGGAAACCGAAACCGAACAGAAGAATGGAATTGACTGCAAATGCGTACTGCAACAAAACAAATAAGGAACGTATTTCACACATGGTTATATTGCATGTTATTTCTAGAAATTGAAGACATTTTTCGAAGTACCTGATAACCCATAAGAACTAGTTTAGACGAGATCATAGTGCCAATAATATTTCCAACGCTTGCACAAGCTGACCACACGCCCATGACAGCACCTCGTGAACAATGACCAAACCAATTACCCACTATGCAAATCTGAAGTTTTCATCTGTTTTCATTTTGAGGTAGCTTCTAAAAACGCAACTAACGTAACTAAGGGATTACCTCCGTTGGCCATGCCACCGATTGAAATAGACCGCCGGAAATCCAGAGGAAGGCATAAAGGGTTTTCGAGTAGAGATGAAAATATTCGGTCACATAACCAAAAAGGAAAACCTAAACGAGCAGAAAAGTAGTAGTATAGAAGGAATGATACCGTATTTCCAGGAAACAAGCCAACAATCAGCATTCCAATCCTAACGAACAAGTACAAGAGATGACACGGATGTGTTTCGAACTTTACATTGTGCGATATACAGCCACAGTCACGAAAGCTTCTGCTCAGAATCCCGAAACTGTATATTATTTTGAAATAATGGAAGCGTCAAGACTTCTTTGATGTTTTATTGATAGCTGTTTTCGTCGCAGTTCAGGTGACTTTAGTGCAGTGGTGCTGAATTGAAGGCAAACCATATTTCCTCAGCCGAAACTCGGGAGCGACTTCGCACTCCTGACATAAGGACCTCATTTACCAGAGATAACAGGATCTAATCATTACATAACAAAGACCATGTTGACCTTACTCAGCCTCCACGGTGTGTCCGCTGTGTCTATCCAAGGTGATGGCCTCGGTAATGTAGTGGTTAGCACTCGTTCCCAGAAAGCTAGTGTTAGGGTAAGACCATGAATGAGACAGTGATGAAGGAGTTTGTTCATAATTCAAAATCCTTTTGATTACAAATCAGGACTGTTTCATCCAAACACGTGGTGATATTCCTAATTGAAATTAGACTGGAATGCATGGCGAGGCTCAAAAAAGACTGATAAACGTCATTTAAGTCAGGCTTCGTCCATTTACAGAAACGAAACGGGTTTATAAATAAGCAATGCCGAGTTCAGCAAACACTACATGAGGCAAACGGTCCCAAACGATCATTTAGCAAACAAAATATAGAAACAATGGGAGTTAAATAGCGACGAATGCCATAGGAGATGAAATGGTTTGACTCACCACAATCGCGGACAGCCACATTCCAATCGATAAAACAACTCGAGGATTGTAACGATCTCCCAGTATACCACCTCCAAACAGACCCTTGAACCGTAAAATTCAGAACTCGTGT